GTTGGAGATTGACATCGTGGAAACCATCGGGACAACTATTCGAGTTCTACATGGTGGAAACCATCAAGAAGGACTGTTCGAGATCAATCTGGTGGGAACCACCAGGTCTGCAGATAGGCATAGCTTTGTGAACGTGTTAGTCATATTTCCTCCTTGTAAATATGTTACTGTAAAATAAATCGTCTAGAAAATGGAACCTGCGAAGGAGCTTCTTTACATTGGTTGCAGAAGTGGGATTCCGTTAACAAGTCTAAGGAGGAAGACCCGCAGAGGAGTTCCTCATGAAGATGAGCTGTCAACTCCAAGCGCCTCGGGTTTTTGAGACCCATAAAATGGCGGGAGCGAGAGCCAGACCCTGTTGCTAGCCAAGTTCCTGACGGAGGTGGAGGCCCCGCCAAAGACCCAAGAACCAGCATCGCTGGATAAAAAAAATTGGCGGCAGCTGCCAGACAGACTGGACCACCTTGCCTCATTGGTGGATCGACTGGTGATGGCGATGGTGAAGAGATAGGAAGACGAAGCAGGTTCTGCATAGCTGGAGATGGAGACGCTTCCGCCATTGACCACGCGGCGAGGAGAAAACGCCAAAGGCTAGCAGCTGCCGCTTCCCACCATCCAGCAGCAGGTGGGAACTGATCAATTTGCTCAACCGCAATTGCAAGCTGTGCAACAGACCTCAACCACCGTGAAGGAGAAGACGAGAAGGCTGGGACCCTTCAAATAATCTATGGCAATGGGAGGCGAATGGACGGTGTTCATCAAAAGATTTGAAGCAGCCGAAGCACTACAAGCACTGCCTACGGTGTTGGATGACGGAGCGCTAATGGCCTTCTTTACAATCCCGGAAAATCAACGCACCACACTCCAACAAGCTTGTGAAGGGATGGTCGAGATTTTCTGTCCTCCGTCCAGCGCAAAGCAGCGATTTTCGGCCCGGAGAAACGGAGAAAGCGTGCCGCCGATGGCTTATAGAAGCGCCTTGCTAGCGCTTTCAGATGTGGCATTCCTGAGGATGGATAAGATGGCCCAGGACACGCTAGTGGCAGAGCGGCTGCGAACTCTCCTCCATCAAAGTGGCATTACTTTGCCGATTGTACCAGAGAGCGAACAAACTTCAATGTGGTTCACTAAATTCCTCCGGGGATCACAAAAAAGATCTCCAAAATCTTGAATAAACACAAGTTCCAGGTCCGTTTCAACACATTACATAAAATCCGTGATCTGGTTCCATCTGTAAAAGATGTGATTCCGGACATACAGTACCTTGGTGTCTACAAACTAAGTTGCCTCTGTGGTAGTAGTTACATTGGAGAAACCAAACGACATGTCTCGGACCGCATTCGTGAACACAAAGCAGACCTTAAACACGGTAGGACCAACACCTCGGCCGTGGCAGATCACTGTTATAATTCAGTAGGCTCACATGACATTGACTTCTCCAAGACAGAGGTTCTTTGCAAGCCATTGGGCTACCATGAGAGATTCGTTCATGAGGCTCTCCACATATACAAACACAGAGACAATTTCAACCGAGAAGATGGATTCTGGCTTAGCAATCATTGGAAGGATTTGATAAACCATTTCGGGTCTTAATTGATTGTTCACGCTTACAGTGGCTTTCAGACAGCATACATTATTTTTTCTTCTCCCCACTCCTCTTTTTTCCGAACATAGATGAACTGTCAAATCGCTATCCGTGGTGCTAACGTTTAAAAATAAATAAATATTACAAACCGCCACTTCTTTCAAATGTTTCTTGCCGTTGGTTTTCACACCTGATGATGACTGTTTGTGTTACAGTCGAAACGTCGTGAGAATTTTATTGTTTTATATACTTTTTTATTTTATTGTTTCCCTTCAACGTGTCTTTACCAAAAGAACCAAGAATATAGTTAATTTTGTTACATTGTTTCGGCCCTACCTATCCAGCCACCGGTTTACCGTGTGGACCGATCATGGGGCACTACAATTCTCAATTAAAATGGATAAACCCTTGGGACAAATGGCAAGGTGGATCGAAAAACTCCAGGAGTACTCTTACGATGTGACACATAGGAAGGGTACTCATCATTGTAATGCATACGCCTTGTCAAAATTGCCATGCAAAGCCCCATGTGCATGTGCTACGGAAGCAGCACGGTGTAAACCGACTCTCCCTGACTCGCCGAGATAGGCGATGTCGATAAACGCAGCAATGATCAAAAATGATGTACCGCCCACAGATCATGATCTCGGGTTGACAAGGACCAAATGAATCCGATTGCAAAAAGAGGATGAAACTATACAGTCATTCGCTGCACAGGCAGCTGAATATGCTCAAAATGGTCAAAAGGGGTCGCCATTCATCACATGGCGAGGGTAAACGAGCTAGTAGCATGGATATCCTGGGTTTATTTCCTAAAACAGCAAGGGGAATTAAATATTTGCTCGTGGGGATAGAATGTATTGCACACGCTGGCCTGTCGCATGGCCGATAACATAGCAGAAGCCCTTCTCCATGGCTATGTTTTGGACAAGGGTTCCCCTGAGAAACTGCTCACAGACCAGGGTCGGAATTTGTCTGCTAAACTGTTGCGAGATGTCTGTGTAAGAAAGTTTGAACGTCACCAACCACCTGCAGTGTGATGGACAAGAAGAGAGACTTAACCGCACGCTGTCCGCAATGTTGTGCCATGTTGTAAATGATGATCAGACGGACTGGGACATGCACATCCCAGGGGTCATATGGGCAAATAGCAGAGCACCACATGCATCGACTGGGCTCTCTCCCTTTTTGATGTGCAGGAGAGACCCTGAGCCACCTATTGAGGACCAACTGGCAGCTCCCCCTGCTGAAGCTGTTTCATTGCCAGCCTCTCTCAGGCGGCCACTAGAAAGGCTCCATGAAGATCACGAAGCCGCAATAGCGGAGTCGGGCAGATCTCAAACAGCAAACGAACGGTTGCGGAATCAAATGGAGACGCCTGTACCCTTTCAACAGGGCGACCCAGCCTGGTTACACTTTCCCCACGTCTGGGATGGCACATCAGCCAAACTACACCGTCCTTGGCAAGGCCCAGTGGAAATTGTCAAAATCCTCCATCCGCAAAGTGTTCACATCCAAATGGGACGCCGGCGATGGATGGTTCCTCCGAGTCGCCTTAAACCATGTAGAGAACTACCGGCCCATGAGGTCATTCAGGCTCAAAAAGGCCAGGTCCTGGGGCGTTGTGATGAATGCCAGGGAGGGGAGCATCCTCTTCGTGAAATACTGAAGATGGCCGTGATGAAGGGGAACGATGGAGTCATCGAGAGAGGCGCCGAGAAGGAATGTTACCGGGTCAAATGTGTTGCTTGACCACACATACATATTGACGGCTTGTTGTAAATGCATGGCTAATGATGTTGTGTATTGCTTGCCTAAGAATGTACACCTTTAATAGGGTAGCCCACGAAAGAGTTTAGTTATGATATGGAATGGTCAATTTGGGTTGGGACACTTTCCCCCCCTTGATTCAAGGGCCTATGTTATGCATTTACCCAGAGGTTAAATGTTAGGACGTTATTAACCATTTTAAGTCACAACTGGCTGTGATGTTTCCAACCTACCTTCCGATGTTAGTTGTTATTTGTGGCTCTCTGGTTTTACATTAACAGGTGAAATTTCTCAGCCACCTCATGTGCCGATGTGGCTGCGGCTTGGCGATCTTACATTGCATGCTAATTTCTCTCACATTAACATAGCATGCTCGTTGAGGAGGTCGTCCTCTGATCTCCCATTAACATGCTCATTTCTCTCACATTAACATCAATAGCTCCACCCACTTCGTTTATGACGCTTGGGCAAAACCCATTTCAAAAAAACTGTCTGCCTCAGCAGCTTTCCTCTCCTTTTTTCAGCCTAATAACGACCGCTTGCGTTGCGATCGAAACGTCATAGTTTTTTATTTTTGTAATTTTTTTTGAACCTATCTACGTGACTTTACCAAAAGACTAAAAGAACATGAATTCCTGCAGTCACAAAAGCTTTAAAGAAAGACAACGAGGATGTGAAAAAATGGTTGGTAATGTATTGATTGAATCACTTGTGATGAGGAAGTGTTCTCCCCTGGATAAATAATCACCAATCACCACAGGCAGGATGGCTGAGCGGTCGAAGGCGCTACGTTCAGGTCACAGTCTCACCTGGAGGCGTGGGTTCGAATCCCACTTCTGACAGAATGATGCTCTTTTGTGAATTAACAACAATTTTGTGATTTCAATTAAACTTAGCGATCACAATAGAATTGAGAAATATTCGAAAATGGAAGTTGGCAGGAAAGTATCTCGAAATATAAATATGAGAAAAACAAAAGTCATGCACAAAGAGTGATTGAGAGCATTACATATATATTATGGAGGGAAACACATTGCACAAAAATCACGTTGGTATGCAAGGGGTCGGCATTTAAAACATGTAAAATGAAAATTAATAACATTGCTATGACTGCTATACAACCAATTGTCTTCCTGTTGTAGAGCAGGTCAGATAGTGCTGCCCCTCTGGTGTGGATATGAAGTAACTTGATGATATTTTGTGAATCAGTTCTGTGATATATTTTTCCATGAACCATTGTCTCACATAGGGCGTCGACCAACCCTGTACGAAGTCCAAATGTAGTTCATACCATGCATGACACCAGCAGTACAATTTCGATTCAATTTGGCGATAAGATTCAGCAATACCCTCAATTAAACATTAGTAACAATCACTGCATTTCCTTGATCAAATGCATTTTGGTTTTGATTATTCTTCACGGATGTTTCTGAGTAAATATTAGAATTCCCAATTTCTAGGATTATGCGTCCGTCTAAACGACAACTAGTTTGTCAACAAATGGTGGGTACTGTCTTGCTTGATTCACTTGTGATGAGGAAGTGTTCTTGCCTGGTTAAATAATGAGAATGTATATTTCACATGAACCACATGGATCGATTGCTGAGAATAGATTAAAATGATCCTCTAGTGTGACCATGCCACAGTCAGGATGGCCGAGCGATCTAAGGCGCTGCGTTGCGATCGCAGTCTCCCCTGGAAGGCGTGGGTCCGAATCCCACTTCTGACAGAATGATGCTCTTTTGTGAATTAACAACAATTTTGTGTTTTGTGATTTCAATGAAACTTAGCTATCACAATAGAATTGAGAAATATTCTATAATGGAAGTAGGCAGGAAAGTATGGTGAAATATAAATATGAGAAAAAACAAAGGTCATGCACAAATAGTGATTGAGAGCATTACACATTTATTATGGAGGGAAACAATGCAAAAAATCACTTTGGTATGCAAGGGGTTGGCATTAAAAACATGTAAAATGAAGATTAATAACAATGCTATGACTACTGTACAACCAATTGTCTTCTTGTTGTAGGGCAGGTCGAATAGTGCTGCCCTTCTGGTGTGGATATGAACTAACTTGATGATATTTTATGAATCAGTTCTGTGATATATTTTTCCATGAACCACTGTCTCACATAGGGCGTAGACCAGCCCTGCACGAAGTCCAACTGCTTGACACCAGCAGTACAATTTCGATTCAATTTGGCGATAAGATTCAGCAATACCCCTAATTAAACATTAGTACCAATCGCTGCATTTCCTTGATTAAATGTATTTTGGTTATGAATATTCTTCACGGATGTTTCTGAGTAAATATTGGAATTCCCTATTTTTAGGATCATGCGTCCGTCTAAATGACATCTAGTTTGCCAAATAATGGTGGGTTTTGTCTTGCTTGAATCGCCTGTGATGAGGAATTGTTCTCGTCTGGATAAATAATGAGAATGTTTATTTCCCACGAACCACATGGATCGATTGCAGAGAATGGATTAAAATGATCCTCTAGTGACACCATGCCAGAGTCCGGACGGGCGAGCGGTCTAAGGCGCTGCGTTCAGGTCACAGTCTCACCTGGGGGCATGGGTTCGAATCCCACTTCTGACAGAATGATGCTCTTTTGTGAATTAACAACAATATTGCGTGTTGTTATTTAAATGAATCTTTGCTATCACAATAGAATTGAGAAATATTCGATCATGGAAGTAGGCAAGAAAGTTTGTTGAAATATAAATATGGGAAAAACAAGTCATGCACAAAGAGTGATTGAGAGCATTACATATATATTATGGAGGGAAACACAATGCAAAAAATCACGTTGGCATGCAAGGGGTCGGCATTAAAAACATGTAAAATGAAAATGTATAACACTGCTATGACTACTATACGACCAATTGTCTTCCTGTTATAGGGCAGGTAAGATAGTGCTGCCCCTCTGGTGAGGATATGAAGTAACTTGATGATATTTTGTTAATCAGTTCTGTGATATATTTTGCCATGAACCATTGTCTCACATAGGCCGTAGACCAGCCCTGCACGAAGTCGAATTGTACGCTTCATACCATGCATGACACTAGCAGTACAATTTCGATTAAATTTGGCGATAAGATTCGGCACTACCCTCAATTAAACATTACTGAAAATCACTGCATTTCCTTGATCAAATGCATCTTGGTTATGATTATTCTTCACGGATGTTTCTGAGTAAATATTGGAATTCCCTATTTCTAGGATCATGCGTCCGTCTAAACGACAACTAGTTTGTCAATAATGGTGGGTACTGTCTTGCTTGATTCACTGGTGATGAGGAAGTGGTCTTGACTGGATAAATAATGAGAATGTATATTTCACACGAACCACGTGGATCGATTGCTGAGAATGGATTAAAATTATCCTATTGTGACACCATGCCACAGTCAGGATGGCCGAGCGGTTTAAGGCGCTGCGTTCAGGTCGCAGTCTCACCTGGAGGCGTGGGTTCGAATCCGACTTCTCACAGAATGATGCTCTTTTGTGAATTAACAACAATGTTGTGATTTCAATTAAACGTTGCTATCACAATAGAATTGAGAAATATTCGATAATGGCAGTTGGCAGGAAAGTATGGTGAAATATAAATATGAGAAAAACAAATGTCACGCACAAAGAGTGAGTGAGAGCATTACATATATATTATGGAGGGAAACACAATGCAAAAAATCACGTTGGTATGCAAGGGGTCGGCATTAAAAACATGTAAAATGAAAATTAATAACACTGCTATGACTGCATTACAACCAATTGTCTTCTTGTTGTAGGGCAGGTCGGATAGTGCTGCCCCTCTGGTGTGGATATGAAGTAACTTGATGATATTTTGTGAATCAGTTCTGTGATATATTTTTCCATGAACCATTGTCTCACATAGGCCGTAGACCAGCCCTGCACGAAGTCGAATTGTACGCTTCATACCATGCATGACACTAGCGGTACAATTTCGATTCAATTTGGAGATATGACTCAGCAATACCCTCAATTAAACATTACTACAGTCACTGCATTTTCTTGATCAAATGCATCTTGGTTATGATTAATATTCACGGATGTTTCTGAGTAAATATTGGAATTCCCTATATCTAGGATCATGCGTCCGTCTAAACGACAACTAGTTTGTCAATAATGGTTGGTACTGTCTTGCTTGATTCACTGGTGATGAGGAAGTGGTCTTGACCGGATAAATAATGAGAATGTATATTTCACACGAACCACGTGGATCGATTGCTGAGAATGGATTGAAATTATCCTATTGTGAAACCATCCCACAGTCAGGATGGCCGAGCGGTCTAAGGCGCTGCGTTCGGGTCGCAGTCTCCCCTGGAGGCGTGGGTTCGCATCCCACTTCTGACAGAATGATGCTCTTTTGTGAATTAACAACAATTTTGTGATTTCAATTAAACTTTGCTATCACTATAAAATTGAAAAATATTCAATAATGGAAGTTGGATCGAATAATATGCACTGTCCTATTATCAGAGTTGTCTTTTTGTTTGCATTTTGACTCCTTGTGTTGCGGTTATTGCAGACATGATGCCTTGAATAAAGGTGTCAGTTTTTTGTGCCAGTTAAAAGGGTAAAACCTATTACTATATCTTGTTACTGGCAAAGGAGGTCTCATAATTGTCTTCCTGTTGTAGGGCAGGTAGGATAGTGCTGCCCTTCTGGTGTGGATATGAAGTAACTTGATGATATTTTGTCACTCAGTTCTGTGATATATTTTTCCATGAACCATTGTCTCACATAGGCCGTAGACCAGCCCTGCACGAAGTCGAATTGTACGCTTCATACCATGCATGACACTAGCGGTACAATTTCGATTAAATTTGGCGATAAGATTCGGCACTACCCTCAATTAAACATTACTGACAATCACTGCATTTCCTTGATCAAATGCATCTTGGTTATGATTATTCTTCACGGATGTTTCTGAGTAAATATTGGAATTCCCTATTTCTAGGATCATGCGTCCGTCTAAACGACAACTAGTTTGTCAATAATGGTGGGTACTGTCTTGCTTGATTCACTGGTGATGAGGAAGTGGTCTTGGCTGGATAAATAATGAGAATGTATATTTCACACGAACCACGTGGATCGATTGCTGAGAATGGATTAAAATTATCCTATTGTGACACCATGCCACAGTCAGGTTGGCCGAGCGGTCTAAGGCGCTGCGTTCAGGTCGCATTCTCCCACGGAGGCGTGGGTTCGAATCCCACTTCTGACAGAATGATGCTCTTTTGTAAATTAACAACAATTTTGTGATTTCAATTAAACTTTGCTATCACAATAGAATTGAGAAATATTCGGTGATGGAAGTTGGCAGGAAAGTATGGTGAAATATAAATTTGAGAAAAACAAAAGACACGCACAAGGAGTGATTGAGAGCATTACATATATATTATGGAGGGAAACACAATGTAAACAATCACGTTGTTATGCAAGGGGTCAGCATTAAAAACATGTAAAATGAACATTTATAACACTGCTATGACTACTATACGACCAATTGTCTTCCTGTTGTAGGGCTGGTCGGATAGTGCTGCCCCTCTGGTGTGGATATGAAGTAACTTGATGAAATTTTGTGAATCAGTTCTGTGATATATTTTTCCATGAACCATTGTCTCATATAGGCCGTAGACCAGCCCTGCACGAAGTCGAATTGTACGCTTCATACCATGCATGACACTAGCAGTACAATTTCGATAAAATTTGGCGATAAGATGCAGCACTACCCTCAATTAAACATTACTAGTAATCACTGCATTTCCTTGATGAAATGCATCTTGGCTATGATTATTCTTCACGGATGTTTCTGAGTAAATATTGGAATTCCCTATTTCTAGGATCATGCGTCCGTCTAAACGACAACTAGTTTGTCAATAATGGTGGGTACTGTCTTGCTTGATTCACTGGTGACGAGGAAGTGGTCTTGGCTGGATAAATAATGAGAATGTATATTTCACACGAACCACGTGGATCGATTGCTGAGAATGGATTAAAATTATCCTAATGTGACACCATGCCATAGTCAGGATGGCCGAGCGGTCTAAGGCGCTGCGTTCAAGTCGCAATCTCCCCTGGAGGCGTGGGTTCGAATCCCACTTCTGACAGAATGATGCTCCTTTGTGAATTAACAACAATTTTGTGTTTGTGATTACAATTAAACTTTGCTATCACAACAAAATTGAGAAATATTCGATAATGGAAGTTTGCAGGAAAGTATGGTGAAATATTAGTGAGAAAAACAAAAGTCACGCACAAAGAGTGATTGAGAGCATTACATATATCATATGGAGGGAAACACAATGCAAAAAATCACGTTGGTATGCAAGGGGTCAGCATTAAAAACATGTAAAAGGAAATTTTCATAATAAAAGTTTTTGGGTTAGATCGCGTTTATTTATAAATGTGTCGTAACCCTCCACCACCCGACACGGCCAATCAGCAAAAAAGTGTCACGTTGACAAAAGACAAATAATTCCCTACTTTAGCCCACCGGTGTGTTGAAGAGTGAATCCACATTTACAGTTTGAGTACGACGTTTCGCTGGTAAATACATCCAGCATCATCGGGCAATTCGACAGAATGGTAAAGCCCTCGCTTGCTCCCGGTTTTATATAGAGCAGCAGGGTGACGTCATCACTTAACTCATTTCAGGTGCAGTGATAAGAGGCGGAGGGGGGGGTATTGTAATTAT